TTGTCCTATCCTCGACTTTTACTTCTTCCTCAATTTTTTATTATGTTTCTTCATATTAGCTGGCCATCCTCTACATTTGATAGGCTATTAGAAACTAAGTCTATTGTAAACTTCCCCCTTTTAGGGCTGAGTTGCTTAGTGTAATAACCAATGTGTCCCAACTCTCGTAAACAAATTGAGAAGCAAGAGAGCTTGCAACTCATCATCAATTTTTAGATCAACTTTTGTTAGCTGATTTACGATTCCCTTGTATGTTTTCAAAAACTTAATCATTCTTTGTCTGTCCTTGTACTCCACCGTCACAAGTTGGCGCACCAAGTGTGCTTTATTGTGTGGCATCTTCTTTTGAGTTATGGATTCACATTTAATCCATAACTCACGAACACTTGTGTAGGTCAACATGTTCTCGAGCAATTCTCTTATCAATATTCGTGGATCATGGCAAACACCTTCCAATTTAGCTGCTCCAACTCTTTATCACTCTTCCCTTCTTCCTCATCAGCACTTACGATTGTCATATACAAATTTTGATGACAAAGATAATCCTCCAACACGGGTTTTCAGTACAAATAAATCTCCATGGTGGGCTTAAACATGTGATCATCATGAGTGATGGTGCCCTCCACCTCTAACATCACAAAACCCTTCATTAAGAGCTTTAATACCACTGTTGTGGAAGGAGCCCAGTTAGCAGAAGTGAAAAAGAACAAAACGTAAAAGGAACACAGGCATACAAACAACAAATTTTTAACGTGAAAAAATCTCTCCAATAAGAAGAGTAAAAATCATGGGACTTAGTTTAGAAAAATATCCACTATAAAAAAAGGATTACAAGATTATCGGTGTAGTATAGAAACTATAGGAATGCACTCAAATTACCTCGCTCTCTGATGTGATGGCTATGACTATTTTTTCTCATAACGAGGATATCTCTCATTCTTTCTCTCGTCGACAACAACTTTGTCGTAAAGGTTCTTCTTCTTTTTCTTCTTCAGCGTTTGAAATGGATTTTCTTCATCTAAGACTTTTTCTCTTTTTGGATTTTTCTTTCTTGTTACGGCTATCTTTAGTAGTGGAAATATAATCACTTTTAAACCTAAGAATTGGGATAACCTTTGTAGTTGAGCCTAGTTCATCATCAGTAACGGACCCTAACAAAAAAAATGTCAGAGAGAAGCCAAAAAAGCAATCAAAAGCTCGTTCTAACAACATTTGAAAATAATCTCATTTTTTTATTTTTCTTCATTAAAGAATATTTTCTTGTTTAAATGCTTTTTTAAGATATTGTTTGGCCTTACTTCTATCTTAAAGGAAAAGAAAAGATGAAAATAAATAACGTTGAATAGGCACTATGTCCAAATATGTAATTTTTTTGGATATTTTTTATTGGTTCATTGATTACTCGTCTAATCCGATTCGAGTGGAGTGGGACCACATGAGCAACAAAACTCTCCTTACCAATCTAGAATAACCCATTAACAATTAATGCAGTAGTGGTTGGTGGTAAATACACAAATTTTATGTGACCATTAACAAATTTCTTATGCATAAACTTTTAACTATCAATTTTATTTGCGAACTAAATTTCTTTTTCAACAAGTTTTTTTTTTTATTTTTTTTATTTTTAACTTAGGATGTATTCAATTTATAGTATCATTTGCTTTATTTCAAAAAATTGCATTTAATATTTTAAAGAGACAAAAATATATTCTATTTTAGGGGAAATGTTATGCTTACAACCTATTTTTGTTTATAACCTCTTACAACCAATATATTAACCGCTAATTTCTGTCAATCAACGGTTAAGATTTTTGCAATTAAATTTTATTAATTCGCAATAAATAATAACCGTTGTTTGACGAAAATTAACTGTTAAGATATGATTGTAAGAGGTTGTAAACGAAAATAGATTGTAAGTATAATCTCCTCCATATTTTAGTATATCTTAATTTAAACGAACCTCTTAATAGTTATGAAATAGCTTGTTAGAAATAAATTTTCTTTCTCACTCTTAACGATAAGTAATTTTAAATAATATATTCTAAATTTTAGGATTTTAGAAAAAATTTAAACTTTACAGTTATCTTCAGGCAATCTTTAGACAATATGTAAAAAAAAATAAAGGATAATTAAATAATATAAATACAAGAATCTGTAAGTTTTGAATAGATATGTGAGAAAAAAATAACTAATATTTTGGATTATCACTACATGCGTTGTAATTTAAAATTTGTTTCGTTGACTTTTTCCATTACTCACCTATGGAATGTCATTATATGTACATTGAAATGGTGAGGCTTTACATCCATCCTCATGTTCTGTTCTATTCATTTGCTGCTGACACACTAAAATAATAAGAACCGCTTGGGTTACGAAAAATTAGGGATTTACTAATTTTAAGCCGTGTAGTTTGGACAAGGCCATGTTCTAAGTAGGGATGGAGACAAGTTAGGCTTTGATGTTAAATTGTTACCTTGAGTTGACTTATATATATTTAGAAATTAAAACGTATAATTTAGGTATATTAGTCTGTTTAACCCTATTAAATCTACAATAATTATTAAAATTTTAAAAAATAAATATAAAATAATATCTTTATTAATTAAAATTATTTATTTTATTTTATATAAATTATATATATTTTTTCATCCATACTCGTGTCAGAGTGAGTGACTTTCATTATATTGAGAAAAAAGAGAAAAAATTAATAGAAGCCACTCATTTCAATCTGAGTGTGACAAAAAAATTTCTATAGTAGAAACAGAAATTTTTTTCTTTCTAAAAAGCTATAAATTTTTGAATACAAATGTATAACATACAAAACTAATATTTTGGAGTATCAATATATCGATATTAATATATTCCGACAAAATTAACTTTAATAAAAATAAAGTTTATTATGTTAGAGAAATCCTAAATATGTTTTTAGTGAGGAAGTGTATATAAAGAATGAGTTTTATAATTCTCGTGCAATATGAAAATTGAAAATTTTCAATACTCTTTAATTTTCATGCTAACGTGGGATTCACATATAATTTTTTTTCTAACATATAGGTTCTTATATGTTTTTTGTCCCTATGACATAAGATTTCAATTATGATGTAACCTGAAAATTATAAAACCCGTAAAGAATTTATACTTATTAAAAATCTTCGCGGCATTCATGGATTACAAAAACGAATAAATATGTAATTTTGTCCATTAAACGACAATTTTGTGTTATTTTGTTATTATATTTTCGGTATATTATAAGAAAAAATATAGAGAAGTACAATTAAAATATCCAAATTCATTAAAATATTTCAGGCACGGCCGGCTGCTGAAGCATTAATATTGAATTGAGAATCTGAGTCTTGAGAAATGTGCGCATCCATCAAGGCGCAAATTAATTTTTCTGTCGGAAAGACTTGCTTAGTTAATCGTTAAACTAGGTCGATAATACAATTGCAGAAGTGAAAAACAATTCGAGTATTCAAGTGTGTCAACAGAGTAAAGTTTTTATTTTATGGATTCACCTCTTATAATTAATTAAATAATTAATTGATAAAAAAATCAATAGTTGATATTTTCAACAACAAAAAATCGATATGCTTAAATATATTTTAATGAAATATTGTTTTGTGTAATTATTATTTTAGTTTTATTTGAATTGAATCATTTTTAAGTTTTGATTAAAAACAAGATAAACGCATTTAATATCTTAATATTTAATTTTAATTAGATTTATTCATTTTGAACATCCCTAAATTGTATTATTTGGTAAAAGATTTTTAATATTTTGTATATTAAATAAAATTGTTAATGTTCAGTTGACCACTTACAAGGGGTGAGTTACACTATTAGAAAAGGCTTGATTATTGATGGAATTTATCAACGAAAATTATTCCGTTGAAAATAATAAAAACAATTTTGACGAAATTTATATTCTGTTGAAAGTAGAGACAAAAAAAAATTCCAATAGAAAAAGAAATGGAATTACAGATGGAACAAGATTCGGTCATAATTAGTGACATAAATTTGCCACAAAATTATTTTTCTGTTGAAATTTTCAACAAATTTTTTGTTTTGTCGAAAATCCAAAAATTGTAACGGAATTTTTTTTCTTTAAAAATTTTGACTGAATTTTTTTATGCCGTAAGCAATTTTTATTGAAGAAATCCTGCAATGCAATGAATTATTTTAACTTTTTTAAAAATAAATTTTATTACTAATGACATAAATTTTGAATTTATTATAAATATATGCTTTAAATTTACTTGAGAGAAATTTCTACGGGGGGAAAATTTGAATTTGCACTTCATAAATGTCGCAGCCTAAATAGATTGTACAGTCTCTACATAGCATATTTAAATTTACTTAATACTGCTACGTCGGATGTACCAAAAATAAAAACATAAATAATAAGAGTGTTATGTCAGGAGGAATCCATGCTCAGAATATTTACGATCGTATATGTTACCATCCTATTCCAAGTTATGAAAGTTGGAGTCTTACATTAAAAAATATAAAGTTTTGATGTGAAATTTATACGAATAAGTTATCCTAATTCATAAATTAACTTTTGGGTGAATCTCTGCTAATGTTCGTATCAGTACACCAGGTGATCTATCAATAATCACCGTTTTTTGGGTGAATCTTGCATACTCAGGGTTGCAAGAAGAATAATAAATGATGATAAGAGTGCTATGTCAGGCATCCGCCGGTACTGGAGCATGCATGCTCAGGGTTATAAGAAGATAAAAAAAAAAAAACGCGACTCACACCGTTTTTTCCACAAATAAATATCCCTGTGTAGAGGGCATACTCATTGTAAAACAGAACGACCATATAAAATATAATTATATTCTCTGGGTTTTAGGAAGGCATTAAAAAAAAAAAGTTTAAGGTGGCACCGTTTTTTCTGTCTATATATCGCTTTGTAGAGAGGTAGAAGAATCAGAGTAAACGAGAAAGAGAGACATTTTCCATAGTGGGTTGTTTAACTTTAAGCTGGTGCAGCTATGGTAACAGCAAAGCCTCATGCAGCCCTTGTGGCCAGCCCTGGCATGGGTCATCTCATTCCCATGGTGGAGTTGGGGAAGCGCCTTCTCATTCATCATGGCTTCCACGTTACCATCTTCGTCGTCACCACTGATACCTCAACCACAACCTCACAGATACTCCAACAAACATCCAAATTCAGTGCCCTCAACATCGTTGTAATACCTCCGGTCGATGTCACCACTAAACTTGGACCAAACCCCTCGTTAGTAGCACGAGTTTGTTTAACCGTGATTGAGTCCCTACCCCTTCTTCGCTCTTCCATCCTATCCATGAAGCTTCCTCCATCAACTATTGTTGTGGACATCTTCGGTACTGTAGCTTTTCCCATGGCACGTGAGCTCCGCATGTCGACCTACGTCTTCTTCGCTACCAGTGCCTGGTTCTCTGCGCTTAGCATATACCTTCCTGTCATCGATAAGCAAATGGAAGAAAGGCACGCTATCAACTGCGAACCGCTTTTTATTCCAGGTTGTGAGCCGATTCGTTTTGAGGACACCCTCGAACCGTTATTATCACCGGGCGCACCTGAGTACGAAGGTTACTTGAGAGCAGCATTGGACATGCTATCTGCGGATGGAATTCTGATGAACACGTGGCAAGATCTGGAGCCCAAAGCAACGAAGGCCGTGAGAGAACCGGGGATTTTAGGACGGTTTACCAGGGGACCGGTATATGCGGTTGGACCGCTAGTGAGAACCATCGAGCCGAAATCGGACCTTGGTCAGCGAAATATGGTTATGAATTGGCTTGACGGTCAACCTGCTGAGTCGGTGATGTATGTGTCGTTTGGGAGTGGTGGGACCATGTCAGAAGCTCAGATGACTGAGCTGGCTTGGGGATTAGAGCTGAGTCAGCAGAGGTTTGTTTGGGTGGTGCGGCCGCCCATGGAAGGCAATGCGAGCGGCGCATTTTTCAACGTCACTGGTGTCCCCAGCGATGGGACGCCAGATTATTTGCCAGAGGGGTTCGTGGGGAGGACAAAGGAGGTGGGGCTGGTGGTCCCAATGTGGGCCCCTCAGGCTGAGATCCTGGGACATCCTGCGACGGGTGGTTTTGTGACGCACTGTGGTTGGAATTCTGTGCTGGAGAGCTTCCTCAACGAGGTGCCGATGGTGGCGTGGCCCCTTTATGCGGAGCAGAAAATGAATGCTTTCATGTTAACGGAGGAGCTGGGGGTGGCGGTGAGAGCGAAGGCGGAGGAGGAGGATGAAGGAGTTGTGCGCAGGGAAAAGATAGCTGAGCTGGTAAGAAGAGTGATGGTGGATAAAGAAGGGATAGGGATGAGGATTAAAGTGAAAGAGCTGATACACCTTGGAAAGAAAGCTTTGTCTAAGTCTGGCTCCTCTCATGAAGCACTGTGTCAGATGACCAAGGACTGTGAGTTTCATCTGCAGGGTTCAGAGGGAAAAGCTCGGGGTGCTTAGATGATATGTTACGGCTCATGCATTCAGCGAATTTGATCTTGAACCTTTCTTTCCTATCTTAATAAATGGAACGTTAATCTTTTTGCATGCAAATGGAATATAATATATGATAATGTTTGTTGTACGTCTTGTAAGCTGATATTTCATCAACTTTAAAGTTAGTGATAGGATTTACGCGGTAGTTTATAAAAAATAAAATCAATTTAATTATATTTACATAATAAAATATTTATAAGTTAATTAGTTATTAAGGGAAATCGCTGAAG